CTCTGCCTGGGGCTGCCTTGGGGAGGAAGTGCCCATGTGGCGTGTGGTTTCCGCAGCGGGCTGGGCTGAGGCTTCTCGCCCCTTGCCAGGTACGCCTTCACCGTGGTGGCCAACATCACTGTCTACGGCGCTGCCTGGCTCCTGCTCCACCTACAGGGCTCCCCGCACGTGGGGCCCGGCCAGGAAGTCGGTGACCAGCTGGGGGTCCAAGACGTGCCAGTGTTTCGGGTGAGCTGGGGTCAGGGGTACCCCAAATCCCCAAACTTGGGGCTCGAGCTACTGCTGACCTTTCTTTTGCCGGGTTCCCAGAACCTTTCCCTGGTGGTGGTGGGCGTCGGGGCCGTCTTCTCGCTGCTGTTCCACCTGGGCACCAGGGAGGGGCACCGACCCCCACCAGAGGAACCAGATGAACACAGCCCCCTGCTGAGCCCGCCCGCCCGGCCCTTGCTGTTGTGGAAACACTGGCTTAGGGAGCCGGCCTTTTACCAGGTACATGGGTGGAAGGAGGGCCATGAAGGCCTGGAGTCAATGTCCCACTCCCCCCCAGGCCAGGGCTGTGCCTTCCAGGAAGCAGGGAGGGGTGGCATGCATAGCTGTTCCTCCATTCCATACCCATGGGAGACATTACTAATCAATTACTGTGCTCTTCTCTGCCTGACTAACTAGAAAGTCACTACTAAAGGATTCTGTGCCAGCTTGATGCAACCTGTTTGCATTCATCCGCTTCCCTGCGTGGGCGCTCGGCTAGCCTCTCCTCCTGCGCCCTCTGCTGGTGGGAGTGGAGAAGGCCCCTGTCCACAGTCAGGGCCTCTGGCTTGCAGGGCCTCCCTTTGATCCCTGGGTCTGTCTGTCCACAGGTGGGCCTGCTGTATATGAGCACAAGGCTGATCGTGAACCTGTCCCAGACTTACATAGCCATGTACCTCACCTACTCCCTCAACCTGCCCAAGGTGAGCTGGGTGGGGGCGGGGCAGGGAGGTGGATGGCCCCCGGCCAGGGCAGCCAGTGCTAAACCTCCCCTTCCGGCTTTGCCCTGACAGAAGTTCATCGCGACCATTCCCCTAGTGATGTACCTCAGTGGTTTCTTCTCCTCATTCCTCATGAAGCCAATCAACAAATGCATCGGGAGGAACGTGAGTGTGGGGCCCTGGGGGAGCCGGGGTTGAGGGGTGGGGACAGCCCTGCAGACAGGAGCTCACACAAGTCAGACCCAGAGACCTGGGGATCCCAGACCCAGTGGCTCTGGTTTCCTCTAGACTCTACAGAGTTCTTGCCTCGGGAGGCCCAGGGTGTTGGAGCCAGGAGTTGTGGAATCCTGTCTTCTGAGCTTCCTAGTCCTCACACTCCTAGGGCTGCAGAGTCCTAGAACTTTCTAGAACAACTGAAATATTCTGTGCTGTTCAATATGGTACCCATGTGTGGCTCCTGAGCGCTTGCATTGGGGCTGGTGCAACAGGAACGGGATTCTCCATTTTAATTAATTAGCTAATAAATTAAGGAGCCGTGGTGGCCCAATGGTTAAGCACTTGGCTGCTAACCAAAAGGTCAGTGGTTTGAACCCATCAGACACTCTGTGGGAGAAAGATGTGACGGTCTGCATCTGTAAAGATCAACAGCCTTGGAAACCCTCTGGGGCAATTCCACTCTGTCCTCTAGGGGCACTGTGAGTCGGAATCGACTCTGTGTCAGTGGGTTTGATTTTTGGTTTGGTGGCACAACGGGTAAGTGCCCAGTTGCTAACTGAACCTACCCAGCAGCTCTGTGGGAGACAGACCTGGTGCTCTGCTCCCATAAAGATTTCAGCCTAGAAAACCGCGCGGGGCAGCTCTGCCCTGTCACATAGGGTCGCTAGGAGTCGGAATCGAACACCCTCTAACAGCAGTGTCAGTTAATGAGTGGATTCGCGTGTAGAGTTAATCACGGGCGGTTCCCATATTGAGCAGCACCATTGGAATGTTGGTTCCACGGAGCTCTGAGAACCTCTGGTGTCTGGATCGTAGAATTCCATGGGGCAGGGCTGGGGGTTCCCTTAGGGAGTGTCCAGCTCAGCCCTGCTTCATTGGGGGGAGTGGCGTGGTGGGTTGAAGATCGGTGAGGGTGTGTGCTGGGCTAGCGGGTGCCAGCAGCTTGCCACCTGACGCTGGGCCGGTCTCCCTGCAGCTGACCTACTTCACCGGCCTCCTGGTGATCCTCGCCTTCGCAGCCTGGGTGGCGCTGGCCAGCGGGCTGGGCACGGCCGTCTATGCAGCGGCTGCGTTACTGGGTGCAGGCTGCGCCACCATTCTCATCACCTCGCTGGCCATGACAGCTGACCTTATTGGCCCCCATGCGGTAGGGCTGGAGGGCAGGGTTGGCGTGGAGGCTGTGGTCCTGAGTGAGGCCATGGGCACCTACCCCCTGCCTGTGTCTCCATAGCACAGCGGAGCCTTCGTGTATGGTGCCATGAGCTTCTCAGATAAGGTGGCCAACGGGCTGGCAGTCATGGCTATCCAGAGCCTGCATCCCTGCGTGTAAGTGGCAGTGCCCTCCTCCCGTCCATCCATCCATCCATTCATTCATTCGTTCATTCATTTGTCCATCTGTCTGTCCATCCATCCATTTATCCATTAACTCATCCATCCAGCCATTTGTTCATTCATCTATTGACTCATCCATCCATCTGTTCATTCATTCATTCACTAAGTCATTCATCCATCCATCCATTCCTCCATTTCTTCCTTAATTTGTCCAACCATCCATCCAACCATTCGTTCGTTCATTCATTCTGTGCGGATTTATTGCGCCTCTGCTGTGTGCTAGGCTCTGCTCTGGGTCCACAGACTCAGCCATGGACAGAAGTCCCCGCCCTGCTGGGACTCACAGCCTAGCTAGCCAAGGCCCTTAGAGGCCTGGTCATTCCTACCTTGGAGTGTTCGTTCATTCAACAAACGTGGTGTGTGTTGTGTGCCAGGTGGAGGACTATGCAAATGGACCCAGAGGAACATGGGGTGGGGATGGAGGGCTAGTACCCAGCAGCTGACTCAAACCCACAGAGCTCAGGTTTCAGACCCAGATGATTCTAGACCATGGAAATTGTGCCTTGCAGAACCCCAGGGCTGAGAACTGAGGCAGATCTCACCGAGCTGGGGGTTGGTAGCTGTTCTCATAACCCTACATAGTGTGTCATTGACACTGGTGATGAGTGCCAAGGAGACTACCACTGGGGCCTCCTGTCAGGGAGGGCTTCCCTGAGGAGGTGACATCAGAGCTGAGACCTTGGAGGAGGACAGGTTTTAGGCAAATCAGGAGGGATGGCCTGTCCAAAAGCCCTGGGGCAGGACCGGGCCTGGTGAACAGCAGGCTGGAGCAGAGGGAGGGAAGGGGAGCAAGGAGGAGGAGGCGGTGAGGTGAGGAGGGGGTGGAGCAGGTCTGGGGTGCTGTGGGCCCATGGGGAGGACTTGGGCTTTTACCTGAGGGGAGCAGGAGCTCTGGAGGGCTGGGAGCAGAGGGAAGCACCCTGGCTCAGGTGTTCACGGGCGCCCTCTGGCTGCTGCAGGGGGGACAGATGGGGGATGAGGGCGGAACTGGGAACCAGGTTAGAGGTGACTGTCCTGGTCCAGGTGGCAGTGATGGGGCTGGACCAGGTGGAGGCAGAGGGCGGGGAAGCAGGCGCTGTGGGGATAAAATCTGAAGGCAGAGCTGAGAGTACCGGCTAATGTTTTGGATGTGGGAGGGGAGGGGCAGAGGGGCAGATGGATGGAGCTGAGTCTGCTGGGGTGGGGGAGGGGCGAGAGAAGGAGGGGAAGGAGGTGGTGGGCGACTGGGGCTGGGGTGGTGGGTGGGGCGGGGTTCCCGTAAGGGCCACACCACAGGGGCCCACTCACCCGCGGCCTCCTCCTCGCCCCCAGCTCAGAGCTCTGCTGCACCGCCTGTGTGGGCTTCTACCACTGGGTGATGGTGGTGGTGACGGGCGGCGTGGGCGTGGCCGCCACCTTGGCCCTCTGCAGCCTCCTCATCTGGCCCATCCGCCTGCGGAACTGTGAGTGCCCTCCCCAGCACCCCCTTTAGCTCCCCTACCCATCAGGGTGGCCCGGCAAGCACAGCTGGCACAGGCCCCACCCCCACTTTACCCCACCCCCTTTCTCTTTTGCAGGGGACCCTGGAGCCTCACCCTGACGCTGGCCACACCCTGTGTGTTTCTATGCAAATACAAGCACGGTTATGCAAATTGTGTCAGGAGGGGCCTTTCCACAGAGGCTTCCCCCATCTGACTGTCACCGAGTCCCCCACTCTCCCACCCTGGATTGGCCCTGGGCTTGGTGAGGGCAGGACTCTGATGGCTTATCGTCATGGAGGGGACACCTAGCCAGGTTTCTGATACCCAGGGTCCTGTGGGCAGCCAGGGTTTGGGGGATCCCTGACTCCTGGCCAGGGCGCCCCCTCCCTCAGGCCCGCTTGAGGCCTAACTTCACCCTGCGGGCAGGGCCCTTGGGGGTGGCGTGTCACAGGAACCTGCCAGAGACAGGCAGCAAGGTCATGGGCTGGGCCAGGACCCCCAGCCATGCACGGGCAGCAGGACTGCCAGTGGTCTAGAGGGCCCACTGGGGCACAGGGACTGAGAAGTGAATAAACAGTGTCCCCACGGGCCAGGACTGTGGCCTCCAGACTCTTGTCTACAGGGACAGAGTGGAACGACTGCAGGCATCCCGGCCTGCTTCCGGAGCTGGGAGAGCTGGTGGGGGACGGGGACAGCTGGCCCACTCAGCTGAGCTCTATCCCCAGCCGTCGGTGCCCCGGCCTCCCAACATCCACCCCCCAAAAAACCACCCAAACCAGCTGCTGTCAAGTTGACTCTTCCTCACGGAGCCCCCGGGCGTGCCAGAACTGTGTGAGACCTCAGGGGCTGGGTGTTCCGGAAGTCGATGGCCAGGTGCCTCTGCGTAGATTTGAACCTCCCACTTTCTGGGTAGAAGCCGAGGGTGTGAACCATGTACGCCACTCGGGGCTCCCCCAGTGTCCCCAAGGGGAGAGGGCAGAAAGACGGAGGATGGGGTGGTGGCAGCATGGCTTTTATAAGTATGTGGGTGCGTAGATGGGCGGGGGCCGCAGGTTGGTCGAGGGGCAGTAGGGCTCGAGGTTCCACTGCCGGTAGTCCTGGGTCGTGTATCTCGGGCGCTGGGGCGGAGACAGGTACTGCACGTAGTCAGATGCCTGCAACTGTGGCTCTGCTCCAAATCTGTCCCTGTTGGTCACTGCAGGGCAGAGAATTGAGGCCGCCTTGTGTCCCAGCTACGTCCCTCGGGGGGCAGGTTCTGGGGGCCCTTTTGGGACCAGAGCCTGCCAGGCTGTCCCCCCCTCCCTCAGCCTGGGTGGCCTTGTCTCCCCTCACCCCCAGCTCTCCCCAAAGGGTAAATTTGTTCCCAGCTGAGAGAGTCCTGTTGGAGGTGGGGCAGGCTGGAGGGCTCCCTGGAGGAGGAGGTAGAGGCTGGACAGGACTTGGGACCCCGCCTCACCGTATTCCTTCCCCCAGATGGGTCTGTCTTTCCACAGCAGGCTCCCCCATCGGGTGCCGGGCACCTGATACTGGGCGGGGATGGTTGCGTCGTACCACGAGGACTCCCGCAGGCGCTGGGTGTAGGCTGTGGGAGCAGAGGCGGCAGCGGTCATTTCAGCTCCGTCCCTTTCCCCAGTAGCCCGCGGGCGGGGAGGGGGCGGGGGACGCACTCACGTGAAGGCAGACTCTGCTCCCGGTGGCCGTGGCATCCGTGCCAGCGCCTGTAGGCGGCACGGTTGGGGCTATCCAGTGCTCGGGGCAGCAGGTACCAGGCATCACGGGGGTCTGAATTGGTCAGGCCTGTGTACCACAGCTGGCCAGCTGCGTCCCGGCCCATGGGCGTATACTTCCAGCGCGTGGCCTGCTTGATGGCTGGTGCCCAGCGTGGGCCCTCCAGGGACAGGTAGTCATCACTGGGGGACCAGGTGGGATGGCGGTGAGCCTGTGGCTGGGCCCTGGGCCTGCCCAGTTAGTCTGCCCGGCTCCAAAATGGGTACATGTGCCCTCACGGTGCAGGGGAGGGTGCCAGGGCCTGCCCAGGGTGGGGAGTGAGTTTGGGCTCTGTGCAGGGGCTTCCATGGCCATAAGCCCCTCCTCTGACCTCATCCCCTGGCTGGCAGGGTGAGACCCCTTGTAGGTCCTCCTCTCTGCACACCTGCCCAAGAACCCCCTTGCACCTTTAAGTTTTTCTGCAAGTGCCTCTCCCGCTGGGACACGGGGTGCGGGGGCATGAGGCTCTGGCCACTCCTGAGTCCTAAATCTTCATTCAGCTTCGATTTCTTCAGGGACTTAAGGATCCCTACCTCCTGGAAGCCCTCCACCCTGCCCCAGCTCTGGAGGTCTGCACGGGTAGGATGGGGTCCCTGGCTGGGGGGAGAGGGGCCCTGGGGGTCTGAGCGAGTGTTCAGTTTTAGCCTGGCCTTAGAGGCATGGCTTGGGGATGCAGAAAAATCATGTGGGGTGTCCAGGCCCCCCAAGGACCTGGTGGGCAGCCTGTGCCTTTTGTCAGGGACCAGCAGGAGGGAGGAGGGTGCAGGCCTCTTGGCTTCCTTCTAGGAGAGCCCTCATTTAAAGGAGAAACCATGTAACTAACCACACAGGGAGTGCCTCTGGCCAGGGAAGGCTGAGAAGGTATGGAGGGCTTCCCAGAGGAGGAGCCCAGCCTGACAATAAGGACGTGCAAAGGCCCCGGGGCAGCAGGAGGAGGGCGGTTTAAGGAACAGAGACTCAAGGCCACCAAGGCTGCAATCCAGAGAGGGAAGTGAAAATAAACTAAAGACGTTAGAGACCACGTGCTGTTAAAACTAAACACACAGGGTAACGACCCAAAGCCGAGGAAGCTGGAGGGAAATGCCGTAAGCAGAAACCTCAAGGGGCCATTCCCTGGGGGAGGCAGCCGTATGGCAGCGCTCCTGAGACGCAGATGTCCTCAGCAGGCAGGCCTCCGAGGTGCCCCACTGTGCAGCCGGCCACCACCACTGTCCTCCCACTGTTTCCACTGTCCCAAACAGAACCTCAGGCCCCCTTAACCTCCCATGACCAAAGATGTTCTGCTTTGAATTTTCTGTTGCTACTACGTCAGTAATGAAAAACCTGCTGAAACCAACAGAAAAGATTTTTTTTGAAGTAATAAGGATTTTGGGAAAATTAGGTGGGACACATGTCCCAGTGGACTCAGGTGGATGGATTGGTGGGGTGAAGCCCTAATCTTTAGATTCACACAATTATTCAGGTCCCCGCCACACAGCAGTATGTACAAAAATTGGGATACCAGCTTCCCAAGAAACCTAAGAGACTGAAAATGTTGGTGGGTGACAGCTGTCCCATGAGTCACGAAAGCATTAAGCAATAATTCTCATTCCTCCTTCTCCCAGCCCCCGAGAGTTTACAGTCAGCGTCTGTCTCGGCACACTGGCCTAACTTAAACCTGGTGTTGAAAGACCAGAGAAACCTTTTGAGAAGAAATTGCAAAAGTATAACCCAGCAGCCATGGTTAGAGCAGACATTAATCACAATGATTAACTTTCTCTTTTTCTTTCCCCTCTCCTTCCTTCTACATAAACAGAATAGCTGAGCCTTTCATAGACCGTAAACTCCCTTAGGATTCTGTTTCTGTTGACATATTCTTTTGCGCGTTCGGCTCTCCCCCACGGGCCGTTTTAGCTGCTGACTGTGGTTTATGGGGCAAGGTGGCACTGAAAAGACAGACACTGCGTTTGGAGCAACCAAGATAAAAGAGGAAGCGGACATTCTTGGCAAGCTGAGGCCTGAGCGGGCCCACTCCCACCTTCTGCCCTCCCTCTAGAGTTCATCTTCCCGGGCAGGCACAAAGCGTGTGCAAAACAATTCTGACCAAGGCCGGTTTTACACCACGGACCAGAACAGTCAACAGAAAGTTCCCAAGCTTGAAGAGACTACTCATCCCTTAACAAAACATTACCAACGTCCCTCACCCTCCACCCCTTAGCCCAGTTCCCTTCACAAACCCGAGCCTGTGCCCAGCTCGGGGAGACAGACTTTAGAGAAGCAAGTGTCTCCCTGGGTATCACTACTCAATGAATCTCTTTCACTTCAACCTGTAGGGGTGACTGGTGGCTCCACTTGGACAAGGGATCAGAACCTTGTTGTTCCCGCATCACTGTCACGAAAACGGATTGCTCAGTCCTTGTCCTCGTGTCTGACCTCTCAGTGAGCGTTACGTTTTCAAGGTTCACCTGGGCCATGGCAGTTATCAGGCCTCCCCTCCTAATGGCTGATGCCCCCTAGCGTGTGGCTGGACCACCTGTGTTTCCGCATGGCCTGTGGTTGGACGCCACGTGGTTCCCACCCTTTGTCCTCGTGGATTAGGCTGCTGTGAGTGTTGGTGTACGACTGGCTGGCCGCTAGTGAGCAGGTGGGACGGGGGGGGGTCCCGACATCAGCCAGGTGGTCGGAGACTCAGGAGCTGCCAGCTTTGGGGGGCAGGGAGAGGACTTAGCTCAACTTTAGACGGCCTTTCACAAGCAGCCAGACCGAGCCCCTGGCGGGGTGGGATTCAGGGGAGGCTCTGCACAGGCAGGGCCGGGGGCCTCACCTGGACAGTGGCGCGGGAAAGTCGGTCTCAAGGGTCCCCCGGGGGACGAGGGGACGGGCAGCCTGCCGCCTCAGCCTCAGGGTCTCCATGGCTGCCTCTGCTTTCCAGTGGCTCCGGCCAGGAAGGCCTCTGGGGCCATTGTTGACAGCAACAAAGGCCACCCCGTGTCCTGGCAACAGAAGGTGGCTGGCCCAGCCCTGACCCTGGCTGCTGCCCGTCCCCCAGTGGGGGTGCACACACGGGGCAGAGGCTGGAGGGAGAGGGCCTCATTCCATATACTCGACGTTTGGGTGTGGATGGGGTCAGGGACAGTGGGGCCTGGGAAGTGGCCATCTGCTGGGCCCCCACTCACCACTGACCTGTGCTCAGCCTTCTAGCCGCTTGTCTCAGCTGCTTCATTTCTCTGAGTGGGTGCGGGGGCTTATAAGCCAGATCCGATTTCTGAGATTCCTTCCCCATGTCCCCCCTCTCCAGTGGAGACAACTCCATCCTGCTGGGGGCTCAGGCCAGAATGCTGGCACCCCTGCCACCTCTCCTCATCCCCGCCCACCCAATTCTTCATCATCTCGGTCTCCAAATGATGCTGGTACCCACATGTCCACCACGTCAGTCACAACTGCTAACAGTGGAACCAGCCAAGTGTCCGTCCACACATGATGGACGATGTGGCCCAGCCACACAAGGAAGACATGTTGTCAGGGGCCAGGGAGCAGGTTCTGACCCATGGCAACCCCACACACAGCAGAACCCGACCCTGCCGGTCCCCCAGCACCCTCGCGGTCATTGCTGTTTGGAGCCCGTTGTTGCGGCCACTGTGTCAGTCCGTCTCTTCGAGGGTCTTCCTCTTTTTCAGTAACCTTATTGTTGACCAAGCGTGATATCTGTGGCAGTTAAGGTTGTGTGTCAACTTGGCTGGGCCTGGCTGAGTGCCTGGGCAGCTGGGGGTAGTTACTCCCCATGATGAGACTGGCAGTCAGTTCCATGGTGGGACCTACCACAAGCAGCTGAGTAGCTGCTTTAGGGATGTGGTCTGCTTCCTGTGTATAAGAAACAGCTTTGGGAATGGTCTCTAGCTTACGGCACATGTGAACCCCACACGTAGCCGTGTCATTGCTGAGCAACATGCGCTACTGACCTTGGGACTTTCAATGGACTTGAACTAAAGGCCTGTCATGTGATTTGGTAACATTGGGACTGTGCCTTTTTACTTGTCAACCTTGGGTTTGTCAGCCTCAGCAGCCAGCAGCTGTCTGAGTGAAGGAATGCCTCTAGCTCCAGTGGGCCAGGAGCAGGAGGCAGAGCTGGACCCCAAGGCTGAGGGGCTTTCGCTCAGCCCCTAGAGCCTGGCACTTTGAACTTGGACTTAAAGCCTCCAAACTGTTAGAGAATAAACTCCTGTTTGTTAAGGTCATCCCATTGGTGGTATATTCCTGTCAGAGCAGCACTAGGGAACCAGGACACCATCCTCTCGTCTAAGAAGCATTCTGCCTGCACTTCTGAGACAGATTTGTTCATTCATCTGACAGTCAGTGTATACTCAATATTCTTCCCCAACACCATAATTCAAAGGCATCGATTCTTCTTTGGGCTTCCTTATTCACTGTTCAGCTTTTGCATACATACGAGGACCCTGACAGTACCGTGGCACGGGTCAGGTGCAGCCCTGCAGTCTTCAAAGTGACGTCTGTGCACATTAACACTTTAAAGAGGTATTCTGTGGCAGGTCTGCCCAACGCCATCAAGAGGAGGACCTGGATGAACCTCGGGAACATGACAGTGTGATGCTGAGAGAAGGCCGACACCACAGGCCACACAGTGACCCCACTGGTGTGAAATGTGCACAACACGCAAAGCGCAACGGAAGCAGCTGAGCGGTTCCTCGGGGGAGGGGAAGATGGGAGTGACCGCTGAGGGCCGAGGGCCGGGTCTGGGGACGAGAATGTTCCAGAACGAGGCAGGGGGCGTGGCTGGGGAGCACTGGGAATCTCTAAATGTCACCAATGTATATTGTAAGTTACTTTTGTTATATGTATTTTACCACATACACAAAAAGATGGTAAAAAACCCAAAGCGTCCAGAATCCAACTGCCTTCTGCCGCCTGCCCCTACTCTTGGCCACAGTCATGTCATCGTGTGCCTGCCCAGGGCCTCCCCCAGGTCTCTCCTCATGGTCTGGTCCCCACACAGCAGGTCCCCTCTCAGCACAGCCCTGGGGCGCCCACCTTCCTCAAGTGACAGCCGAGCCTCCCTGCAGCCCACGGGGACCCCCTGCACTCCCCTTCGCGCGCTCTCCAGCTGTACAGGCCTCCCGAGGCTCCTCCCCCTTGGGCTGTGCCCCGTGCCTGGGGGACCTCTGCCCACCTCGGGCAGGGGGCTCCACTGTTTTCATGTTACCTTCTCAGGAGGATCTGCTCACTTTCCGCCCGCCCCCTGCTCCGCCTCCACCTGCTGTGGCCGCGTCAGTGGTCTTGGCCTGGTCCCCGACTCCTGCCCGCACCCCCACACAGTCCACTCTCTGCTGCAGCAGAGGGGGCCCGTGAGCGCCTAAGTCTACAGCCCTCAGGTAAAAGCCCGAGTCCTCCTCAGGGTCTCGGCCCCTCTTGCCCGGGGGTCTCTCTGGTCTACTTCAGGCCTGTCCTCGAAGGTCAGGATTCAAAGCCCCCTCTTCCCCTCTTCCCTGCGGCATGACTCACTCCCAGGCCTGGGTCATTGCCACTGCCACAGCTACCCCCGGGTAGGGCAGCCTGGGTCTGCTGGTGCCCACACACTCAGCTCTGCTCACCTGCACTAAAGGACCGGGCTGCCCGTCTTCTGTCAGGGCCCAAGACCAGGCTCCCCACCGGCCGGGGTGGCCATGGCGCCTGACCCCGGCAGCCCCTCTGTACCACACGGTGCCTCCTTGCTCCCCATGGCAGCAACCAATCCAGTGTTCCACTGATGGATGCCCACCTCACGGTGGCCTCCGCCTCCCCCTTCATTGGTTCCAACACATGCTCTGGCCCCAGGGACGTGGCCATCCCATCCCATGCTTGGCCCCCCGCCCCATGCCTCCCACCACCACCGTCCACCATCCTCTGAACCCCTCTGCCGGGCTGCCGCACCCTCACTGCCACACTCGTGTCAGTTTCCCTTTATCGTCCAAAGTGATATCCAAGTACAATGGGAACCTCAGGTGCGCCCTGCCCACCCCTGCCCCCGCCAGCACGTCCTGTCTGCTGGCCTCTGGCTGGGCCACGTAGGGACACTGGGCAGATGGCCACTGCCTCACCATCGCCCCATTCTCTCAGGGCCCCCTCTGCCTTCATGTTCTGACAGGAATGGGCTCTCCACTGCCGTGGAAACCCAAGCGCACTCCCCTCAACAAGCAGCAGTCCTCCCCCTGCCCTGGCCAGCACACCCATGCTGGCCTCCGTCCCTAGGCTCCCGCCCTCACTGCCAACCTGAGCCCAGTGAACTAGGCCCACCCCCTTAGAGCACCTCACGGTAACAACACGGCAACTCGGGGCGCACACTGCACCCCCCTGCAGGGCTGCCCCATTGGGGTGTTGGTTGAGGCAGGTTGGGCGTGAGGCCTGTCAGGGCTGTCCAGGCCGGGTGTTAGCATTGTTCCACACAGTGCCAGCTCTGGCCCTGTCCCTCGCCCTCAGGAGGTAGCCTGTGGCCCCCCTGCCCCCCCGCAGAAGATCACACACACAGATGGCAGCCTTGGCTGTGAACTTGCAACTTGTTTAATGACAAGGGTGCTGCATCACAGATGAGCTCGTGCCCTCGCAGGTTGGGACACCTGCTGGCGCGTCACCTCTGCCCTCCCGTACCCCCAGGACCCGTATCTAAGGTGGAAGTGCAGGATCCCGTACCCCCAGTGCTAGGTGTCCCAGGCCTGGGTCCCCACAGGTGCTCACCACGGATGTGCACTCAACCCTAAACCAGACCACCAGGGGGCTCTTTGGCAACTGCACTGGGGGGTAGGGGGTGGAGTGAGGTGGAGGTGGGTTTGTTTTCTCATTTAAAAAAAAATCCAACAAAAAGATCTTGACCAATCAAAGCACCGGTGTCTATATACAAAGGGCCGCAGCAGCCTGGTGTCCAGGCCCAGGGTGCTGGGGGCTGGGAGAAGTTGGCAGGCCACTCACCCCACACCCTTGGCCTTGGGCATTCCCAGGGCAGCCCGTGAGAAACACAAACATCCAGTCAACCCACAGATACATATATACATGTGCTCCCGCACACGGGGCAGTGCTGGGACGGGCTCAATGCCTTGTGGGGTCCGTGCGCCCCACTTGCAGACCCATGCCTGTGTCTACCTCCCTGTCCAACGTCCCCGCCATCCCTGAGCACCTGACATGCAGCTGGCAGCCTCTCCCCGTGGGGGTGCTTCCTGGAGCGGAGGTGAGGGGGATGCGGCCCAGGAGAGGGTGATGACATGGGGGGCACAGGGCACGCCCAAGGAGCTCCCAGGCTTGCAGACACCTGGTGGCAGTGAGGGCTGCTGTCCACCCCTCCTTCTCCCTTGGCCTCCCCATGGGAGCAGCACAGGAGAGGGACACACCGGGTGGAGCGGTGGGGATGAGGCAGGAGGGTGTGGGAGGGCCCAGGGGCATGGGAGCCGTGGCCAAGGCCCACCTGCCATGAGCCGGCAGCCTTTAGAACAGACCGTCTCTCTGAGGCAGGAGGGCACGCAGCAGCAGCGGGGCCCAGGCCGACACGGCGCCCTCGCCTGGCCTGACGCTGTCCTCTGATAAGTCAATCCTGGATGGTCTCCTGTGGGCTCTGCTGTGCGTCCAGGCGGCCCACTCCTCAGGCAGCTGCTGAAGCCATGGCCTTAACAAAAACATGCCCCTCAAAGTCACCACAGTGGGTGGCATGAGATCCGAGTGCGGGGGCCAAGAGCAAAGGTGGCCAGAAAGGAAGCTTGCTCAGGGTCCGGTGGGGAAGAGATGGCAAGTCCCACAGGCTGGCTGTGCGGCCACCAATCTGCCCACAAACCTGCTAGGCTCTGCCCACGGCCATCCGGTCTGTGTGGGAGTTAATGTATTCAATGAAGGATGGCTGGCCAGGCTTTGGCACCTGTCCGGGGCTGCCGTGCCCA